CATCTCTAGTTGGAAATCAAAAAAATGTTGAAACATGAAGCCCAACTGGTTTGTTTTACACCAAACTGAGATTGAATGCAACACAGAAAAAAAGGAGTAATGCACTAAATTAGTCTAACAACTTTTAAACACAAAAATTGAGGTAAGTGTGATTCTAAGTTTCCTTGAAATGTTTTGTTAAAATATGGTCCAAGATCTGAAAGTTTAGTTAAATTGATAACTAGCAGAGTTTTTACCAATTGAATCAAACTGTCTGAATTAAAGCAGTCTAACTTTCATGACATACTCAACTCAATCCAAGCTGATTGGGAACTCGCAATGACCTGGATGAACTGTTGGAGGAAAACTCTTTCCCATGTCAATGTCAATATCAATCTGTTTTAGCCACATGTGATACCAAGCTGTTTTCTCGTTTGCACACTCACAAATTAGCACCATCACGCTCACGTGCACACAGTGGCTGACCAACATCCATTCTGTCCGCCTCCCCCTGTGTTCACGCTGCAGGGCCAACAAGCAGACTGAGCGTGAGCGGGCGCGCGCGCGTGCTCTGGGGTGGCACAAACAAACAGTCTTTTACACAAGCATACACACTGGCACACGCACGCACAGTCACCATGACCTGCCAGCATCTGTAGCCACGCGCCGTCTCTGCTGAAACGGCGGAACAAACCCGGGCTGACACGCGTGCGCACTGCGCGCGGCTGCAACAGTGCACGCGCTCAAACAGAAGTCACAAAACTCACAGACAATCGTTTTGCCTCACACACTAACACACGCACGGTCCCAAAGCTGCAGGTGCTTTTCAGTCAGAAGCACAGACTGCGCGCGCAAACCATGAGCGCGCGCACACGCACTCTTCCAGTGATGCAGAAAAGTCTGGACACATGAAGCAGAACGCGCAAGATTCAAAGTGACTCCGGAAACAAGCTGTTCGCATCTCAGCGCAAATCTTAAAACCTCTCGTTATCCGCGCGCAAACGCGCACTGCAACGCGCGCGCGCATCCAAACACGCTGACGCCAACACAAGCGCGCATTCATTAGTTTTGCTTCCTACCTTCCTCGTGCATCCGCTGCAGGCAAAAAGTGAGGTTCCGCCGCCAACCGGCATGCTGCCTCGGAGCAGGAGAGTCGAGCTGCTGAAGAGGAAGGAGATTAAAACCTGGAGGTGATGAAGAGGAGTGATGGTGACGATGAGGGGGCTAGATCCCGTCCAGAGGAGATGGTGCAAAAAGCAGACTCAGTTCATTTAACCTCAATATTCCTTCTTATCCTTCTTCCTTTGCGTCTTTTCCTCGGTTTGTTGGTTTAACGGGGAGAAGCTGCTGCTCTCTCCAGTAAGACCTCGCTGACAGTTTGTGTGACAGTCGGTCCCGCTGCGGCACAAAGCTCCCTCTACCTCAGTTACTCCCTCTCACTCTGACACAAGGCACTTTTTCCTTTAATTCACTCTTTTCGTCTCTCCTATTCTGCCTCTCACTCTTTTGTAAAGCCGGTTTATCGCCCTTTTAAATTTCCTCCCTCCCCCCATTCCACTTTTTCTTCCAGCCAATCTCACTCTAGTGAGTCAGTCATAAGTTGGTGTTCCTTCAGTGCTTAAAGTTCTGATGATGTCACTTGTGTCAAGAAAACTTCTGGAGGAAGGCAAACAATATTCACTAAAACTTCAGACACAGCAGAAAAGAGTATTTTTTAAAACTAACAATTACTCTGTAGTGAAGAGTAATTAAAAAAAATAATACTTTGACAGATCTTTTTAGTTTTCCTCTTCCAAGTTGTAGTAGGATTTATAACCAATTATTAACTACGGCCACAGTTTTATTTAAAGGGGAGGTTTGAAACAGTGACTTTTTTAGCTTTATATCACATTATTAGTTTTTCCCTCATCAAAAATATATCCGGAGTTCTGCTGTGATTCTTTCATGAATGTTTGAAAGGTCTTTGAATCCTTTCAGTCCCATTCAGGGCTGCGTCTGGCTGGCAGGTTGCGTAAAGCTGCTCCTCGAGTTGTGCTCTCCAAGCTGAGTTTCTTCTCCCACACAGCACCAAGGTTCCTTCAGACTAGTGGCAACATCAATTAACAAACCTGGTGAAACTGCAAGTCTGCTGCACTAATCATATGATTAGATATGATCATATGATTAGTGCAGCAGAGCTTTTCAGCAGTGAAAAGCTCCTATAAAGATATGACGTTCAGACAGCAGAACAGGAGCTTCTTAAAGAGACAGACACTGTCCAGTTTTCTTGGATTTGCACTACTTGCTGCTGTTTGCTTCTTGTCTTTTATCTTTTCTGTTTATATGCTCATTGCTCTGCCTATGGCCTCAATTTCAGCCTCCACGCACCCAGTTTATTGTTGTCAGTCATTATGTTTGCATCATCTGCAGTCTAAGTAATTCTGATACATGAAACAAGCTCTGTTCTTCAGAACATGACATTAGAGTCAGAGATAGCCTGGACGATGTCTACAATATATAGATTCATGACTGGAGATTTGTGGATTTGCGTTCATAAACCCCATCTGATGTCTGAAATTTTGTAGTCAAATTCATTACATGTAATCTAATTCAAATGTCTGAAAGCTCATTGTTATGCTTATTATCTATAAGCACAGGATTAAAAATGACAAAAATCTGTAATATGTTCATACTACTGTCACTCATTGCTTGCAGAAGAGTTAGTTATGGAGTTCCACTGTGTTTGATATTTGTTCACATTTTGTCATGTCATTGTAAAAAACCTGGATGTATTTTACTGAAATGTTTGTTATTAATACATCTTTGAAGAGGACATAAAATAAAATTTGATTTAAATTTTGATATAAAATGATGCAAGGTTTGCCAGCTGTTTTCAAAATCACCTTTACTCTTGTGCTCTTACTTACCAGCCAAAAGTTACAAAGATCTGCCAGGCAGCTTCAGATCGAAGGACGGCTCAGTTTTGTAATCACATTCAAAACTTTTAACATTTCACTGATTACTGTTCAGGGAATTTATCAGAAAGGCTTGGAAACATCAGTCTGTGTGCAGTCGATCTATAGAAAGTGTTTGACTTACTGATGGCAAACCTGGAACATAACTTTTAGGGGCCTGTTGTGGAGTTTAACCTTCCAGCAGGACAATTAAATAAATATTACAGCCGTAGCTGAAAAAGAATGGCTTACATCAATCTATTCATGCATGAGAATGGCTAAGTCAATGGCCAGATTCTGCAGTTGTGGCAAGACTTGAAAATTACTATCCGCAGGCTCTCTCCATCTAATCAGACTGAGCTGCGGGTTTATTCCAAAGGACAATTGGAAAAAAAAAGATGTCCATTGCTGAAAATGACATGCATGTCACAGGTGCATACAAACCTGATGCATGCACCTGTGACTGCAGTAAAACATTGCTTGAATGTTTGTATTATTCTATTTGCTCATATTTTGCTGTCAAGATGAAGAAATGACTTAATAAAAGTCATAGATCTTTTATCCACTTGATTAATTTGATCTCATTGCCTAAAACAGCCCAACTTTGTGATTGCGAGATGTTTTGCTTTTGAAAAGGAAGGAAGAGAAGTATAATTAATAAGTAAATGTAGTTCATACATAAATAATGTGTCGTTGAGGAGTATCACTATGCTACCACTTAATGTAGGAGGAATTTATGTTTAAAATATACACCTATAGGGAAATAGGACCATATTTCAGATTTTATCTAAAAGAATTTGCTCTTCACTTTCATTTGCAATCTTAATATTTCAAACAATTTGCACCATGCAGAGGAATACAACACATTCACACACTTACCGGAAATGAAAATTAGTGGAGAAGTTTGACCTCTTGTGGACAGTTTAGGCTACTGCAACTTCCTCATAACATGCAGGAAAGCAGTTTCAATATAAGTAAACAATATTTTTTGTAATATTATTTACTTATAGCGCATCACAACTCTTAATAAAAAATATTTTTTTATTTATTTCTGCTTCACTGTGTAGGTATTCTGAAGCAACAAAAAATGAAAACGCAGAAGTAATAAAATGACCCAAGAAGTTGACCAACAAATAGTTGGGTAGATTTCTGCTCACAGCTGCAGGAATTAACGGTGCACTTGTTTGAGGCGTTTGTAAATATTTTGCAAAAACTCTGCATTTGAATTGTACTGTGAGTGAAGTGATGAAAGAGGAAACATTAAGGAGTGACTCTCTGTGTCTCTCTGTCTGTCCGTCTGATGGTAACCTATTGGGGAATCACACTGACAAAGTTTTGCAGTGCATAATAAGTGTGATGCAATCAATATTTGGACTTCCAAAAGGGTGATGTATTCTTTTATTTGTTTTGTATATTTTCTTATAGTGATGTATTCATGGGGTAATTTTGAACAGGTACCAACTCCTTCAATTGTTCCTCGCTGTTCTCACTTCCATTGTTTCTCATTTGCTGTTGAATTCATTTCAAATCCAAGCAGATGATGAATTGCTTTTTTGAGATGATTCACTCTACCAGCTGGACAGACAGGTTCTGTTGATTCTGTCAATCATCAGGTCTGGATGTGGGTTGTAAACCTGAACCAAAAGGAGGGAGGTTATGTAGATTCAGCAAATGGAAAGAAAAAAAAACAAAACAAAACCAACATTTTCTTCTGACACAAAGCAGGTTTGATGATGTGAAGGGGGGACAGAAAGTGGAGCTTTAGTTTCTCACAGCAGTGATTCATGTAATGATCAAAGCGAAACGTTTGATCATTATTTAATGAGAAAGATCCAGTGTCACACAACCACTGCAGCATTGCTCAAGATGACTTTACCTTCTTCATTCAGAGGAAGTTGCCTCAGTTTCTAACTGCTCTCCAGTTCTCTGCTGACAGGCTGGGATGTGTTTCTGTATGAACACATCTTCTGCTCTTCATGCCATACGTTTCAGACACGCCCACATATGTAAAGCTGAGACGCTGAGTCTACCTGTGCTGACAGGACGCCGTGCAGCGCCTCACACGTGATGCGGTGACGCCGACAGAGAGGTGCAGACAGCGGCAGCAGCCTGCAGACTCAGCTCGGTCAGTCAGCATCAGCATCATCACCAGGACGAAGCGTCTCTGTATTTCAATCCAGGCTTAGGTTTTTCCTGCAGACTGTGATTATTCCTGCCACCGTCAGTCTGGGAGTTCAGCGTCCATCCTTCAAATCCGGCGTTTTGTGCAGACTTTGGAGCCATGCGTGGACCAGCTGCGGTGTTGACCGCATACCTGACCGCATACCTGCTGTGCGGGCCGCTTCTCTGCGCCGCGGCCAGCAGCCTGCAGCCCAACCACCGACCCATCATCGGTAAAACATGAGCTGTCATTTCTTGTCCTCCAGAAAGCGCTTGCAGGGTGCTCGTCGGATTATCATAGCTCTTATGTAATATTTTTCGTGAATGTTCGAGAAAAGGTGTCTCTGTGTGGGGGAGCAATGGAGACTGAGGCTGAAAACTGCTGAGCTTTAAAAACAAAACCTGAGACTAGAATCATTCTGCATGTTATCACTAGCACTTCCTGATCGAACTAAATCAAGTTTGATCAGCAACACATTCAAAAAGTAACATTTTAGACAAAACCTTAAAATGTAAGGTAGATATTGAAATTGAAACTTCAGGAAGCCTCTTTTGCAGAAGCTCTTATATGATCAAGTAACAACCTTTGTCTGTTTTTCTGATCAGGGTTATTTGAAAATATGACTTATTTTAGATTTATCACAAACATTCAGCATTAAGGAAGACATCTTTGGTGTTTTCCTTAATGCAAAGTCTTCTGCAGAAAGACTTTGGCGAGTTGAGTAAAACATCCAGTCATTGTGGTTAGAGGTTTGTGGCCACCATGACAAACTATGGAAGTGTCATATTTCTGCAGGTCATGCTGAAGAATGCTTTAGGTGTTTTGTCATGTCTTTAGAATAGCTAGACTTGTTGACTGAGGTCAGAAGTGAACAGCAGTTTGGTTCATGCCATATGCAGTCGTTGCATTGAGAACGTTAACAGAGAAGTACAGAGAATGTCGTGTTTTTATAGAAAACGTTTATGGCAGGGTGTGGTGCTGTACTGTATGAGGACGTCTGGAGTAGCACAGAAGTTTGTGAGGGTGAAGCAGGGCATGTATGAGAGCTGTAAGGCTGTGGTGAGGTGTGCTGTAGGAGCGACTGAAGAGAAAAATGTCAGGTGTGACCAAAGCATATCAACCAGAATTAAAGCAAAGGTGTACAAGACATTGCTGAGAGCAGTGATGCTGTTTGGTTTAGAAACAGTGGTAATGATGAGGAGACAGCAGGCGGAGCTGGAGGTAGCACAGAGGAAGATGTTGAGGTTTTCTTTGGGAGTAGCAAGCAGGTATGAGATCCAGTATGAATCATCAGAGGAACAGCTCATGTCAGATGTGTTGGAGACAAAGTCAGAGAAACCAGACTGAGATGGTTTGGACATGTTAAAGGTTGTATAGTGAGTCCATTGGTTCGGGGATTTTGAGGAAGGAACTGTCAGGTCGGAGACTTAGAGGAAAACCAAAGAGGAGATTTATGGATGGAGTGAGAAAGAACATGAAGGCAGTGAATGATAAGGTCAGATGGAGACAGATGACTCATTGTAGCGACCTCTAAAGGGAAAATAAGAAGATGAGTTAGACTTGCTCATCCTCCTTCAAAGTAGTCTCATTAAATAATGTTTCAGTGTGTCGTTTTTCACTTCTCCACTTCTGCAGCTGAACCTGTCAGTGTGTGACAGGGGAGAGAAAAAACATGGGGGAAAAAAAGGACAAAAGGTCCAATAAATATGAATCACTGGATGTGAGACTCATCATCCTATGGCTGACCATTCACTGTAAGCCGAATATTCAGTTAAGAGCTGTTGTTGGTACCAATCCTCTGCAGTCATCTGTAGCTCCTGATGAATCTCATTACGTCACGTTGAACAGCTGAAGGGTCAGGACAGCGCATGCTTTTTTATTGGTATGTTACATAACACGCCCTCCAAATCATACGCTCAACCGCTAAATGAAAATACATAGAGTTGTGGATAATTTTGTTCTTAGAGCTTAGTTTTATAATGAGTGAAAAAAGATGCACTTTCACAAAATTCAAGTGTTGAATTAGAACTGAAATGAAGACAAACAAGATTAGACCAAAGTCCCGTTAAAGACCTACATTTTCTCACTCAATATTAAATATAAAAGGGGAAAAAATCTTTTTTTACAGATATTTTAAGTCAGTTGCTTTTATAGTTTGGGTTTTAGTTGAACAGCAAACTTTGTAGATTTTATAAAGACACAATATTCAGAAATGCTTAAACACCGACGTGTTCCAGTAACTCATCTCTTCAAGTCACACAGGTGTGTCGCGTTTCTCTCCTTTTAACCAGGATGTAATAGATAGAAACACTTCTTTGGCTTGTGACATGTCAGTAATTCTGTGTCCTCTTCTGGCTTTAGGTGTATTAGCGCAAGAAAACCTTCCTGATGACCAGTTTGCTCGAGGGTCTTCTTACATTGCTGCCTCCTACATCAAATTCCTGGAGAGTGCTGGAGCCAGGGTCGCACCAATCAGGTCAAATATCACATTCCTCTGTATTTTCTTTTTATTACATTCACCTTGTTGCTGTCAAGTCTTCATCAACTGCTGTTACTGCAAACTTTACTGCTGTCAAGATGTAGCTTTAAAAGTTTGCAAATTATTATTCACGAGTAGTTTTAAAGGATTCTTTTTATAGGAGTCCTGCCTGAAAATAAAATTAAGAGCGTTGAGTCCCGATCCTTGGAGAATTTTGCTGACCACAGAAAAGATTCAGAAATACTTTACCGATTTTTAGTATTTCAGTGTGATTAGTTTTTCTTTTTGCTCATAGAACTAAATAAGTAAAAAAAAAAAAAAAAATTTTAATGATTTCAACTGACTTTATATTTATTTTGTGTTCTGCAGGATCAATCGCACAGAAGAAGAATATATCAAGATATTCAACTCAATAAATGGGTGAGTATTCTTCTCTATGCCCTTACTCTTCTATATATAAAGGGTATTTTTAGTTTTTTTCAGTTTGATGGTGAAATGAGAACTGCTTCATATGGAAAAGAAGGTGGAGTTAGGCTCACAAATGAGCATAAAACCAACTGAAACGTCTTCCTCCATGCTGTGGCTCAGCTGCAGATGAGTGAGAATCACTGAAGCGAAATGTATTAAGCAGGTTTACTGATCAAAGACCATAATGCAGCTGGAAGTCAACAAAGGTCTTTCTTCAGTTGTCAGGATCTGGATCTAAATAAGAGTCATTATATTTAAAGAGTTTGCAGACTTCATTGATTTGGTGCGTTAACGACTGTGTCCTTGCAGTTCCCAACACTACCACTAGAGGTAGCAAATAAATCTTCTTGTTCAAGTTGAAAGAAATATTGAGAAAATGGACTGTTTAATGCAATGTATGCTTACTGTGTGCCACATTTTTGCCTGTGAGCTGCTGGTAACTATAATTTCCTGAGGGAGTCTTCCCAAGGGATCAATAAAGTCAAGTCTAAGTCTAAGTCTAAGTCTAATGTTAAACCATTACATTAACATATGCAAAGACACAAACATTCACCATCAGTTTCTATAATTTTTGTTTTTTTCTGTCAAATCTTAGTTTTTTGAGTGCATTTGTCGTATTTCTGTTCAGGTTGCTGCTGCCAGGCGGAGAGACATTCAGACATCCCAGTTCAGTCGAGCTGCCAGGATCTTTTACAACTTGGCTTTGAAGGTATGAAGTCTGACTTACAGTCGAGACTGTTGAGCTCCAGTAACTCTTCAAGATATTCTCTGAAATGTGATCCCTGCTTAGCTGCAGGATAGAAGCAAATTTTTATACGTTATCCATAAATGTTATCTAGTAATCCCTTTCTTTCTGACCTTCTTTAGGCCAACGATGCAGGGGATTACTTCCCCATCTGGGGGACATGCCAGGGCTTCCAGCAACTCTCCGTCCTCACCTCCAGAAAAAACCTGCTCACTCTCACCAAAACCAAGGCTGTGGCTCTGCCACTCATTCTCACACCTGGTATAAATAATTATGGTCTCTTTATTTCATTCCCTCCTGGATTTCTTGATTGTTTTTGTGATACCTTGCAGTCAAAGTGACAGGACTGCTGCTCTGTATGTAGCCTGAGTGTCCTCAGCCCTGGTCCTTCATGTCTCTGCTCCAGCAAACCTGATTCAGCTGATTGCATTACCTGCTCAGCATGCCATCAAGTGCTGCAGCAGCCTCTTAATCACCCATTCAATTATACTCTGGTCAGTGACAAGAAGGAAACCCTTAAAACATTCAGGAGAGTGGATACTGAGGAATGAAGAACCACTGCCCTGAGTGGGCTAAGATAATTGGTTTAATTAACTGCTTTTCTTTTTTAAATAAACCTCCACTACAATTACAAACTACTAGTTATGGGTAAATGAGGCATCATGAGGCGTTTTGACCAAAACTGTGTTGATACTGTGTCACTGAATACTGACACCTGCTGGACAGTAAAAATCCCTACATGCAACACAGTTTACCGACTGATTTGATGACCCAGTCGATACAATGAGATTTAAGTCATTGTATTTTATTGTATATTATGTATTGCATTATGTCATATCTGTACCATAAAGTGAACATTTAATTTAACATGTTTGGAATGAGGATGCTTGTGGACTGCGTTTTTCTTTTTTTCACAAATTTTCAATCAAAATAAGTTTTTCCAAAATTTTCAAATTTAGTCTCTTATGCTATTTTGACACAATTTCTCCTGCTGTAGAAAAAAAAATTAAATAAAACATTTATCTGAAATAATTTATAAAAAATAAATTTGAGAACGGCTGAGTTTATCTGGGATTCGTTCTGATGCCCTGTGATGCCTCAGCACCGAGGAGGTGGATTTATTTAAATAAATCTGTCATGCAACACTTAACCTGCAGAACATAATATGAACGTAAACTGAGTCAATTTCAGCAGAATTTGGATTCAGATAGATCCAGTAGAAACTGAAAAGAACCGGATGAAACAACAACCAAGAGAGAACCAGTTTGGATCAAAATGGTCCAAACTACCAAACCTTTTGTTTGCCTTCAGGCTCCATATTGACACTGAACCATAAAACATCAAGAATGCTTTTGGTAAATGCAGCCTGTTGACAGACTCGCTTCCTTATAAACACAGTTTGGCGCCAGTGTCGTTTTGAAACAGTTCCTGCATCGGTCATGTGACTTGCTGAAAGCAACACGCGCAGAGTTTCGTCTAAGGGCTTGACGCATGCGCCGACGCATCGGCGTTACTGGACCCATCACTACAAACTACTTTGTAATAGTCTGTCATTTAAATCATGTTTTAATGCACTGATGTTTGCGGTTGTAAGTCGATAAAATGTGAAAAGGTTGTTCATATTTTTACACTGCGCTGTAAGTCAATGCAGTTTCTAAATATGTTGGTTTAACGCAAAATTTCCTCAGACCAGAATCCAACCTGGAAGTTTTCCTCCTGCAGAGACAGACAGGCAGACTTTGCTATTTCAAAGGAGCATCTTTAGCTCAGCTAAACCCTGAGGCTGGCTTTATTCCTCTGAAACATGTTGTTTTAATTTCACCTTCGTTTGTACAGATTAATGAACATTTCCTGTGTCTCTGTCCTGCAGCGGCCCAGTCCAGTCGCTTGTTCAGGAATTTTCCCAGGGATGTGCTGCAGTCTCTGGCTAATGAGAACATCACCTCCAACTTCCACAGCTGGAGTCTTTCCATACAAGTACTTACTGCTGTTTTCAGATTTTTCTTCTCCCTCTCCTGTGACAGCTGGAGATCTATAGTTATGCCAGCTGTTTGCAAAAACAATCGAGTGTTTAATCCACAGATTGTGAGGCTAAAACTGGAACACAACTAAGTCATTGTTCAATTTGTGCCCGAAACTACAGAACTACACCCGAAATGCCAAACTGAAGAGATTCTACAGAGTGTTGTCCACCAACAGCGATGGAGAGAAAGAATTCATCTCCACCATGGAAGGTAGAGTTCGTTGTTGATCCCTTTATATTTTTAAGCTGCTTTTATGAGGCACATTCGACTTGATAACTTCTAATTCTTTTACGTTACTCCAATGTGTTTCATCACCGGGACTGAATTCAAAGTATATAATGTATATTCAGTTGGTTTTTGCCAAAGTCATAAACCACTTGATGTCCACCAGATGGCACCAACGTCCCACAATAATGTACACAACTTGAGCAGAAAGTTTTCCTGAATATTAGAGCCAGATTGAGAGAAAATAACAAATGCAAAATATAAAAAATATATAATATTACAAGAATATGAGAGTAAAATCATAGAATTATGAGACTCTTTTTCTCATAATACTTCACAGTAAGAAAAGCCATGAAAGTATTGAACGTATTAATCAGATTAAATTAAACAGCAATGGCTAACAGTGTTTCTGGTTTTGATTAGCTTATCGCTACCCGTTCTACGCTGTGCAGTGGCATCCTGAGAAGAGTCCGTTTGAGTGGATCGATAAGCCAGGCATGGTTCACACCGTCTCCGCTGTCAGAATCAGCTTCTACACTGGAAGCTTCTTTGTCTCTGAAGGTAACACATAAAACCTGCAGCCTTGTTCAAACATTTTTAGGTTTTTATTTTTTTCTCTCTACGTCTTTCTTCAGCCTTGAAGAACCAGCACCGCTTCTCCAGTCTTGCTGAAGAAGACAAAGCTTTGATTTATAACTTCTCCCCTGTCTACAGAGGCATCAGTGCAATCTTCATCCAGAACTATTACTTTGATTGACGAATGATGTTTAGGAACTAAAGGTCCTGAGTTCAGATTAATCATAATTTATTGTGTGTCAGAAATCATTTTGAGTTCACATCATCAGTAGAAAAACATTTGCCAAAGTATTTTACAGGAAATGATCAAGAAAAAGCTAAAACATAACAATAAACAAGAGACTGTGCTCTCTTAATATGCAAAGACAAAAAACTGTCATCAGTTGAAGCATCATAATTCCTCAGCTCTTTATCTTCTGACTGTACGACTGGCGATTGAGATTAAATGTATCTTGCATGCAGAGAGCAGCATTTATAGTGCTGCTGGTTTGGGGGATCAGGCAGGAGCTTTCATCAGGGAGTTAAGATAACTGCTACTCCAACAGAGACAGAGCTGAGCCAAAGTTAAAAATCTGTTTTAGACACTGAGGTTTTGGTTGGACCCCTGATGAAAAGTGAATTATACCTACTGCCATCAAGATGCTGACTCTTCAGAAATGTTACATCTAAGCAGAACCAGCTTATCTTATCTTTAATTTTCTACATATTTATCATCATAATTTCACCAACATCAGCATCAGTGTTGCTATTTATCTGTTAAATAAATTATTATGGATTTGTATAAGAGATTTGAGTGCTAAACACACAAAAAATCACCATCGATTAAGCATCACAATTGTACATGAGTTTGCAGATTAAAATGCCAAGCCCTCACTTCAAAATGCAACCTATCCTTTCTAAGTTATAACTGCAAAACACAAACAGTCCACATATTTTATTTTGCTTAAAATAAACACTTGTTGCCCTGTAATATTTTCTACATGCAAGATATCTGTGCTTCAGGGTGGCACGAAATGTAAGAAAAATATGTGATTTCTATAATGCTAATAATTAATTTTTTTTATTTATTTTTGACAACTTCAGTTTAAAATAAATTTTTATCTTCTTTTGTTAAGGAGGTTTAAAGTTGGCAATAGAAAAAACGTCAAATCTGCTATAAAAAAGCAAAATGTTTTTTAAACATTATACATGGTGAGTTTGACCATCAATTAAAAACACAGCAATTATTGTTAATATTTTTTTTTATTAGAAAATAGTGAGATATTGAATGTGACATTCCTGTGGCAGTTACTCAGTTTCCTTGAAAACCATATCAGGAAAACTCTGCAGATGATTCATCTGTACATGATTGTATTTTAATGTGATTTTTGCTCAGAAGAGCTCAAAACAAAGAGAACATTTATTTTTCGTCAACCATTTTCAGAAAATGTAAGAAATGTTTTGAGTACATCAGAACATCCATCAGCAGCAAATGTAAGTCAAGTCAAAATGATTTAATTTGAACTATTTCTTTTATTTAGTTTTGAACAGGAGGAGCCTAAAAGAGGCCATACAGTTTTAACTGCATTAAAATAAAGAAAAAATGTACACATCATTTGCTTTGTTTTTTGTGAGCAAAATACATGTTAAAAACTATTTGTATTATTGAAAATGTCTACAATAAAATAAATGCTTCAAGTTGATTTTATGTCAGATAATAAAGGGGAAAAAAATCAACGAATATTATGTTACATGTTCATTTTACTTTATTTCGATGAGAGGTAAAATCAGTCAAATTGTTAAGCATAAATGCTCCTGCGCTCTTGTGATTGCTATCCTGAGTAGTTAAAATAATTTGTTCTGTCAGGTTCAGGGTGAAAGTTAATAACTCACCACTAGAGGGCGGTATAGTTGCATTGTGGCTGGTTCGATTCTCATCCAGAGATGTGTGAAGCAGAGCTGGACTCTGCCAGGTCCATTTCTCCCTGCCTGTGTTATTTATTGAGGCGATCATCAGCTGCAGTTGTGTCGGGTTGGGAAGCTCACAGTCTAAAAGTTGCTTCATGCAGATAATGTTTTCTGATTGGTAGTTTTAATGAGGATTCTTCATAAGTTCAACTCGATTCTTTCCACAGACTAACTGTCCTATATTATATTGTCTCAATGGTAATTCTAATACACATGTTAAAAAACAAACAAACAAACAAAAAACTTTATTATAAAAGTTACAAACTGCAACTTTAAAGTGGATTTTCATTTAATTGCTTATAAATTGGCCCAACATGTCAGCTGTAATATACAACCAACCAGCCATAAAACTAAAACCTCACAGTGAGTCAGCCTCACTCAGCTGCCAAAACGGCCCTGGTCAGTCGAGGTCTGAACTCCTTTGTAAAGGTTTTCTGTGGTATCAGAAACCAAGACGCAAGTCCAGTTCTTTGAAAGGTGGAGAATTTGTTAAACAGAATTTTTTACTAAGACAATCCACCAGATTCTCGATTGGACAGGAGATCTGAGGAATTATGAGACCAAGTCAAGCTCAGTCCAAAGACTTCTCATCGTAATGCATTGTTCATTGTGAGGCCTTTCAGTCACACACATCCTTTCACATCTGCCTTGAAATTCTTTCAGATCAGAATCGCCACACCAAAACACTGACTTTGTTATCCTTAAGCCACTTTGTAGCCACTCTGGTCTTCCAAATGGACAATGTGCCCAAGACTTTACTTCCTGGCTGATGTCTTAGATGTTGCTTCAGTATGTGCACATAATATTCTTTTCTGATGATGCTATTTCATGAAGTCCACCAGTCACTCTGGCTGTAAAACAGCCCCACAACATTATGCTGCCACCACCATACTTCACAGTTATGAAGGTAGATGCATCCACCTTTTACCTCTCAATGCACCGCTGGACATTATGTCTCCAGACCCTGTATGCCTTTGCAAACTGCGTTCTGGCTTTTTAATGTTTCTTTTGGAATAAGGCCTTCCTCCTCACAGAGTCAGGTGACCAATCAGAGGTTTCCAAAAACACATCATCATCTGGGCTTTCTGTCCTTGTTTAAAGAGGCAGAAATCATCCTGGATGACGAGACATTAATAAATACATATCTGACATATTCTCATGCTGATCATCTTGGCATTTTGCAAACACAAATAATAAAAAAAAATTTAACTGACCTAAAACAACAGAAGTTTAATTGGATTTGTATTGAAAAGTCTTTCGAAGTCCAATTTTCCCTTTTCTTGTCCTGGCAAACTTTTTGTGTGATGTTTAAAGCAATTTACATGAAATATTATAAATTGTGAACTTACAAAACCTAAAATCTGAGCGCAAACAGCCGAATCAGATTTATTTCTCCAAAATGTTTTCCCCAGATTTTCAGTGAGAACGTCGGGAAACAGATGAAAGACACAGAAAGCAAACACTGTTTTCTTTATTTATTAATCCTCTTCATTTGGTAAAAGGATTTTTTTGCTCTCCCCAAACAAAAGGCAGCGTTTTTCCACAAGTCAACCAACCATTCTTCTATCATTCAGTTTCTTTCACTTCAGAAAGCAAAGAGCAGTTCTGGCCATTGATCCCTGGATACAGCGTGAGCATTAGTGTCTGGATATGAAAGTCCTTTTACTGAAGAGCTGCCCAGTGTGAGAATAAAACTGATCTCCTGTCTAGCCCAGGAATACCCTCATATCAGAATAATCTCTCTCACACACACTCTGACAAAGGGTCGCTTCCTTTGATCTGATGTATCAAAACTCCAAAGGTCTTCTGAAAAATAAGCAGATCTTCTTTGTGATGCCTCATGCAGGAAAAGCGGGTATGTGGAGAAAGAGGAAAGTATGCAGTTGACTGAAGACTGAAATGAACAAAGAGAGGAGAAAATCACTTAGACTGTGAGGCAAGAAGAAGAGACTTAAAAAGAAAAGATTGCCTCAGCATGTCTATGTGCAACAGTTATACTGAAAACATTTGTTCTTTGTCTCAATAGTAAACTATTTTTCTATATTATAAGGGTTTAAGGTGCCAGACATTATGTTTAAATAATAAAATATTAAATTCAATTCTGCAATTCACCTTAATGCCCTCCCTATTATACATTTAATGATGCAATCACACAAACTGCAAAGCTTGTAATGATGTAAGTTTTTAGACTTAATAAGGCACGGCCACCAGAACTACTGAGGCACAAAGATGACCCGATCAGAACATCTGAAGTTCATGAAATGCACATGAAATACATGATTATGACGGACGTCTCGAGTCCAAACATGCAAACTGCTATTCACCAATACACTATATACCTAACTGTGAAGGACAGAGAGGAATAACTGTTATCATCATCATCATCTTTTATAGAAGTATTTCAAAGTCAGCAACATCCACCTTCACACCTCATTAACCAGAAGACACACACACAGGCTACAGTATAAGCACAAAACATAACAGAAACATGGAGACGTGCTCAAGGTAAAACAGATACAGCCACTCAACCTCATGCAAAGCATCAGTTTACAACAGTTTCATCGAATATCCCGAGGCCACAGATCCTAAACTAGCAAGTCTTAATCAAAACATCTGAACTGCATGGACGATGTTTGTGTTCAAACTTCCACTTTTTAAAAACTGTAAATACTTACTTGCCTGAACAGGCATAAGGAAGTCTGAGGACAATTACAATATGCAGCACAGTAATCCCCAACATCTGGCCGGACCTGGAAGTAAAGTCATAAAAAATCCTCTGCTTACCACTGAAGGTTAACTCACTACTTTATACATTTGCAACACAGTTAAAAAGGCAACAGCAGAAAAACAGAAGAAATATGTAGACTTCTAAAAACATAAGATGTCATTAAATCATTGATGTACTTACATCAAGTCAACTCAGATACAAAAACACCTTAATAATCTGCTGATGGAAACATACTGTGACCTCTGAGGTCCAGGAGAGATTTTCTTTCTTTTCTCCTTTTCATTTGTCTCTCTGTGGCTTCGTACAGTAAAACATCTCACTGTTGTCTGCACCACAGGAAGAATGATTTGCTTCTCTTTCTTTCCTCATTTCTCTTCTGCATGTGCTGGAAAAAGAAAAATACCATGGACGACTATTCTCTATTTTTTTCTCCTCCTGCTGTCTTTCCTTTTTTTACATTCATATATCTTCAAGAACTCAGAAGAAAAAATGTGCTCTGCAAGCTTTTTTTTCTTCTAAGTGCTGCACAATTTGTATGTTGTGTTGGGGAACAAGAGATGATTCCTTGATGCTGTGCGATTAAATGCTGCCGTGGAACTGAGACGTCATTTCTTCCTACAGCCACAAAAGACAGCAGGAAACGAGAAGCTGTCCAGCAGCATGGAAACTTCAGAAGCACCTAACAGGTGCAACTGAAGAATCTAAAAAGTGAAATGCTTCTTTTCAGTTTTCTAAATCTTACCATGTTACATGTGTCTTTTGCAGAAAAAGCAAGTTTTGACATTCAAAATATAAAGTCTAAGATGAAAAAAACTGACAATGCATTGAGCCAAATGTAAGCTCAGCAGGTGAGGCTGGGGAGCATCTTAACCCGCTCTAGAACCATCAGCACCGCCGCCCTCTGGGGCTGCATCCTCTCTGCGCTCTTCTTCTCTCTGATGACTGCATCTCAGTGAGAGAGCACTTTCTACAAATCAAAGTCCAACTTATTTTAAAAAGACAATAATCTACTGTTAAAGTTTTTAAATTTACCTTTTGTATTTACCTTTTTCAGTTTTATCCCTGTTTTCACTTTTATACGTTTTCATTATCACAAGTCCACTTTGTACCTAAATTATCTAAAGATAACTTATTCTTCGTACTACACCCAAGAGCAGAGGAGCTGATGTTCTCTCCAAGCAACATGAACAAAACTTGGAAGGTCTTGTAGCTTGTTAGTGACACTTTCTGGACAGAACTTTTTTCTTGTGTTGTATCCATCAAATAATCTGATTGGTTAGTGTCAGTATCGGTTAGATGTTACCATGCTGACGATGTCGCAGTGGTGCTGAGCTGCTACCTTGAGTATAAAAATTAATTCCCCATCATGTAAATCCCTTCTCTGAATCTACATTCATTTTGTTTTTTCAAGTCTTAACTTGGATGTTTCTAAAGCCAACAGAGTATGATTCTTTATCAATCGTTAAAGAATCATACTTTAACTTAACACCAACTGTTTATGAAACTAAGACCTAGTTTCATAAATACTTCTGCGTTTGCTTGTCTGTATTGCAGACGCCTAAACTGTCTTAAACCCTCAAACGTTGTAATCCACAAAAAATAAAAGACAGTCTTAGGAATCAGGAATAGAAAATCTCAAAGATGAGAAACAAAGAGGGACACAGCAAGATCCTTCAAAGGAGCACACAAAGCAATCATCCACAAAAAAAAGTATGCAGTGATAAATGAATTGTATCGTGTTGGTAACAGCAGAAATCATTCTTGTCGACATTCTTTATTTTCCCTGCTGTCCATACTGATTTCCTAGCTCTGTTGTTTGTCTGTTGTTAAACAGTCTGTGCTGGCAGAAGGCAGAGATGAACTGAGCTGCCAGGAGCACAAGTAGCATGTCCAGCCAAGTTGGTTGAAATAAACATGGAGAATGACTTTTACACTCTTGTGCTGTTTTTGCTTTGT